TTCTGTAATTTATTTATCCAGTACTCTGTCTGATAGATTACCAGACATTTTCGCTTTCCTTCAATCTATCAGTCTACATGTGTCTTTTGCAGACGATGATTTATATTTCATGTCTTGAAGATACAGGGAACTCGGGCCTAATTTTGCTGTTTAGCTCTTGTTAGCTATATCACAAACTAAAGATGCTCTTAAAATCCAAAGTAGCTAAAAGTGCTTGTATTAAGTTTTATTGTCTTATTTTGGCAGTTTAAAGTATTCTATTGCTATTTTATACGCAACCTCAGTTTTCAGTGCACATTCTTCTCCAAGATAGTGTACTAGAAAGATAGATGACTGAAATTCGTGGCTCAGTTTTCAGTCAGACAATAATGTTTTGCTCTCAGGAATATATTTCTGTAATTTATTTATCCAGTACTCAGTCTGATACATTACCAGACATTTTCGCTTTCCTTCAATCTATCAGTCTACATGTGTCTTTTGCAGACGATGATTTATATTTCATGTCTTGAAGATACAGGGAACTCGGGCCTAATTTTGCTGTTTAGCTCTTGTTAGCTATCTGTCTTTGTGTAGAAATACTTTACATTCCACTTTTTACCTTATGATTTTTTTATCATAATTTTGTCGAATTTTTTATTATTTATAATAAATATCCCTGAACACAATGTACATATATATTAAACATAAAACGAATCATCTATTATTCATTCATTAGATGTTAAGACGGGCTTAAAACGAAAGGGACTTTTCTTGAAAAGAACAGCTGGTGGATTAATTGCGTAATTTAACTATTATTCAATAACAGACTCTACAGAAACGTTTCAAAAGATTTTTAATCAAGCATTTTATAGATTAAAAAAATAACTATGTTATCCAGATACGTTTTCATGAAGTTTCATTATACATACCAATAATTTTCTTGTTTATTTCTACGTGACTACGTCTTGTATTTTCTTGCATTTTTCAACTCAGATGGAAAATTGTACACGCTTCAGTACACTTGTATGCATTTCGATTAATTTCGTTGTATATATTAATGTTAATAAAATTTAAAACAGTTAACAAATTAACTTAAAACCATACTGTTTTTTTCGCGTTTAAAACTTTTCATTTAGATTTTTTTTATCACATTTTTGTTTTACTGCTGAGCTGTCTTTTATTTTTCATCCTCTACGCAAAAGAAATCAAATTTCTTACGAAAAATATGATGGTTTTCTCCTATTATTTAATATTATTCTCCTTTTCTTTCCTGGAGTATTAATCCACCATCTATATGTACATATTTCATAAAAAAAATAAATATTCTCCAACTACAGAACAAAAAATTATTCTTTGATAAAACAACATGCTTCAATTTATTTTACATAATTTCTTTAATAATCTTATACTTCGGCACGCCTACATGATTATAATAGCGTGTAAACGTCAAGGATAACACCAATCAACCAAATAATATTTGTGACTAGTATCATCCATCTAAGAAACTGTTTTGATTTTTTAAGATTATTAAATGATATTATACCAAAAATCTGATTACTAATCATGTTTCGCATGATTAATAACGTAACAATATTGCTCAGTTAATGCCAACCAAAGTTTGTATTCGTTTTTTACAGTGAAACGAAAATATTGTGGAGTCTAAATTTCGACGGCTCTCACTATTACAATTAATTGCTCGAAATCTATATATCTTAATGATGTAACAAATACAGAAGCGCCTGAATATCATAAAAGACTAAAAATTTCGTGTGAGTACACACAGTAGTTTCAAAGTTTCACGATTATTATTTCTATGGGAAAAATCATAAACAGAGACAATTTATTTATTTAAAATATGATACATTAAAGTAATTAATTTTATTAAATTCATTCGAAGCTCAAATTAGCAACGCTACACTAGAACTAACTGTTATAATTAGATATTCTTCATAACAAGTAGCTTACACATTGAAACAGAAATTAAACTCATCCCTTAGAGTGAGAAAATTAATTAATCTTATGTAGAAGAGGGACAAAAAACTTCTGCAGATGATATTGTTGCGCGCGTACAGTTTCGTAATAGGCTGAATGCACACAGAATTGATACACACTTCACAGTTCTGGAACTTTCCACAAAAATAGTCTTACAATTCTTCACGGTATCACAGAATACAATCAGTAGTTACACTTCAAATTACTAAGAACGTTAAACACAACGCAATGCAAAGCGCATCTCAGTACTCCGAACTCGCGCTGAACTAGCCACTAAGAACGGCTGATAAACTGATGCTCTCATCGGTCTTGTATAGTTTTCACCCAGCCGCTGAGATATTTCTAGTACTTTTTGCTTCTCGAATTTAGTGGAAGGCCTATGCGGGCTGCATACAGTTACAGCTGCATATGAAATCAGTTACAGTCATTAAATTAATATACCTATTATGGTGATACAGGGACCGGAGCAACTTGTCACCAAATTTGGCGATTTATCGCCAGAACCATCGTCAGCTTTGCAATATCTCGCCAACAAATTAGCCAGATAGCCATTTATTTACTCAATGCTAAATAGACCTGTCCCTGTATTCTTATTTTTCCGGAACACCATCGTTTCTCTCAGCTTTTCATGTTAACATTGTACAGAAAAATACAACAATTTCCCATACAATTGCACTAAAATCATCCATCTACACGGCTGGTCATTAAAATTGCAGTACCATGAAGGAAAGCAAATGCAAAAAAGCTATTTATTTCACATAAACAGTATGGCATGAGACAAAGTGATTAAATTTGTAAGCATTTTGGAGGTTTACGGGGTTGCGAAATTAGTAGAACCAGCTGCCACTCCTAGGAGCTAAAACGGCCCTTACCGCATCAGGTATGTAGTCAAACTGGGCTTGGATGACAAAAATAGGCAACTCATTCCATGATGCTTCAAGTCTATGCCACACTTCATCAACCGTATCAGCTGGAGTGGGGAGGCGGGCCAGTCTCTCAGCAACACGTGACCACATGTTTTCAACGGGTGTAAGATCTGGAGACTGTGCAGGCCAGAGCAGCAGTCGAATATCCTGTGTATCGAGGAAGGTCAGAACACGACGTGCAACATGTAGTCTTGCAGTATTTTGTTGGAACATGGCTTTTGGGGGCCTTGAAGTTAGGGCACAATCACTGGACGTAAAATGCCAGAAACGTACCCATCTGCGTTCAAATTACCGTCGATCCGAACTAGAGATGTGTGTGCCATGTATTTAATGGCTTCTCAAACCATCACACCAGGTACAGGGCCCCTATGTTGATATCGAATGCAAGCTGACGTCGTGCGTTATCGTCGGAGCCTCCAGACACGTATACGATCATCAGAATACTGCAGCTAGAACCGGGACTCGTTTGAAAAAGCGACAGTGTGCCACTTCTGTACCCAGATTTGCCGTTTGACGCACCAGATTCGCCGTCTCTCTCTAGGCTGCATTGTTAAGGGAAGCCGAAGTAATCACTCTGCTGATAGTCCACGCTGCTGCAAACGTAGACGCATCTTGCAAGCTAGTACTGGGCGTGCTGCAAAGATGCCCATTTCCTGACTAATGGCCCGTGATGCAGTCGTACGGTTTTGAAGAGCAGAATTCACAATATGTCTGTCCTCTCTGGCGTTATTCATAGGAAAGCGTTGATATCCTGCATGCCATTCAGTATGTCACTCAGCAATTGATTCAATATTCGTATGGCAGTAGTTAAATGTCGACCAGTGCGACCGGCGATATCACGGAACGCTAATTTACACTTTCGATAGGCAACGATCCTGCCTCTATCGTATTTCGAAACTTGCTTGTAAGCATTTTATCTTCTCATTTGTGGAGTCCACCAACGGCCGAGCGGTAAAGTCGCTGAACACTGGTAGTTCGGTCCGAATCCCACGAACGGGCTGGCTGCATGGGTGTTTTCGTGGTTTTCCCCATGTGTAACGTGTATACGAGCCAGTTTCCCTTAGTTCCATATAATTAATTATATTTTGTCCTCCACGAAGGCATCCCTCCCCTTAGGCATATAGCCCTAGTGTGCTTTGTCATAATTAAACACACACACTTCTTAATCGTGGCATAACACGATATTCTAAGAAAATTCCAACTTAGAAAGCACTTTCCGAATGAGAAATTCATTCGAAATTCCTCTCTAAGCCACGATTAGCACGCAGAATTACGTTCTGTGTTCCGGCTGTCATGAATTTTAGCATGAGAAATCCACTACACAACTTTTCCTATTATGCTGTTCTTCAGATGTCGTTTCTCCCTCCGTTGTCGAAATGCGCTGAAATACTAATCATCTGCACATCCCAACTTCTTCCTTTCATGTGATTTTTTGACGTTCGTCAGATCATTCCTTCCTGGGGTTGCAATTTTAATGGCCAACGGCATTAATGTACAAAATTCGTAATAATGTGAATCTAATTATCTCTGTAGCTCTGGCATTGCAGGAATGGAAAATTCCTTGCGTTTTTAACTTACATCCTTCGAAAGAGATTTACTAAACTGAAGAATATTACATTCCAGATGACCATGTATTGGATGATATGAAGAAAGCAAAGACGAAATAAAATAATAAATGCCAATAAAAATATAAAATTAATATGATATCATTAGAAGCACTGTTAAATATTATTATATTATTATATCTCATTGTCTTAAGAAAGCAGAGCTGAAATACATAATAAATATGAATAAGAAATATAAAATTAATATGAATAATCTATTATCAAAATACAAGATAAAACATGCAAAATAAAATAATATTTAGTACTTCATTACATATATATTAACTCAATCAGTTTTAAGAGTAATAATTTTACATGCACTAAAAAACAACTCATTGCAGCTTTAATGTTATCATATAATCACGCGCTACATAATACTACTCAACGTTTAGCCATATGACACATTAATTCTTCGAAGGACAGTTTTCTGGTATTCTCAAATATCCTTTATAGGTAATTACGTCATTCAAAATTTTAATTAAAAAAAAATTGCTCTTACGTTTCGTCTCCTCCGTCGCCTGTTTTGCCAGCTACTTGTAGCTATGTGTGGCTGAGTATGAGGTGGCCGCAGCGCCGGCGTAGGCAGCAACAAATAAACAGTATCTGAAAGAATGAGAATGAAATTCTAGATGAGTTAATGGCTAACAGGCGGAGAGATGGTGAGACCCAATCCAGCGGAAGAGGGGGGAGGTAGAAATGAATTAAGAGCTGACGAATTCCCCCTCACCACTGACATTCATTTTTCTTCTCTTTAACACGGATCGGTGGCCTGCAGTTTTAATATGCTATCTTTTTATTGATTCTTCTGTTTGGATGTTCACTTTTCGATATTAGTATTTTTGTTTTTCCTTCAATTTAAAAAGTGAAGCGAGAGACTGAAATGTGTAATAAAAATATCTTTCTTAAGAGCTTGCATAAGGAGACATGTTTCTAGTACCAGGTTATATTTTTGCCCCATTAAATGAGACTGAGCATTCATTATTAATTAATTAAAATAATTATGAACTTAGGCAGATTTTTACTAATTGCTGTTTAATTTAAATATCATATTATTCTATTTACTGACAGTCTTACTAGATTGCACACAGCTCACGTGTTGAGTACTGTAGAACCTACTTTCTGATCATATGCGCTGTACTCTTTAGCAAAGGAAGATGCAATTACGCCTAAGATCTTCATCAATAGGGAAAAAAATCATATTGGGATGATCTCTTAAATATTAGCTTAGATAACATCTACAAAAGTCTGTTCTAGTATTATTTTATATGTATCCTTATAACATTTAGGAACACTGTAATGTTAAGTATGTATGCATGTGTATAATACAAACACAAAAACTATGTTTCAACAAGATTTCACGACTAATTATCGCTTGAACGCTTGTCATACACTATTGCTCCAATATAAGGCAGGCTTTCAGACTGATTGAGGAAAATTTGATCATGTAATACCTTTTTAATGAAAATATACGAAATTAGTATTTTTGCATGGTTATAGTAGGCAGAGCCGTGCCTAAGTAATTTTTCACGGAGACAAAGATATAAATGTGATAAACAAAGATATACTGCGGCCTTCATATACAATGCAAAGTGCCCGACCATTTGATGGCAATAAATAAATAATAATAATAAATAATAATGATTAAAAGAGATAAGAAAAATATATATGTAAGTCAACTATATCTGTAAACTTCTATTAACTTCTATTAATTTCTAGGAATTAAAGGTAACTATTTCAAATCACAATACCATAACATAACATTTAATCAGTGGTTTATATATTAAAAAATGACGCATATAATTAATTATATTTTGGAATAAAAAATTAAAAATATCCTTTTTTGATGGTATATAACAGAGTTGGCCAAACTTCATGTCAGTAAGAGACGCACGTTTGAATTCAGGAATGTTCGAGAGCCGCATCTAGATTTTCTAAAAGCCACGAGTTCATATTACATCAGTTATAGAAGTAGTGGAGGATTTTAAATAGAAAGAATCTCTGATAACTTTGTAATATGAGTCTAAACTAATTAATTACTTCCTTTTGGACACTGAATAGTTTTAATTTACCATATTTCATACATATATTTTATATGCATGAGCCGCACAAATTGCCTGTGAGAGCCGCACTTTGGCCACCCCTGGCATATAACGTTGAAATAATGCAGGTATAACTAAGATAAGAATATTGCACTAATTTTTCAAGCATTTTTAATAACTCATTTTTTCTTGTTTTAACGAGGTAAAAAATCATCAGTAATTTTCCAAAAACTACTTGAACAATTAATTCATATTTTATGGACAGAATTTCATAATATCGAAGTTTTTCTTGACCAAATGAAAATCTTATGTAACTGCTTTTATTATTTTTAAGTTTGCTGAAGATTCTTTAGCCGCTAGCAATAGTAACTGCGGGCAACGTTAGAAACATTCTTACCCACTCCTTCCAAATTCGAATACATTTGAAATGCATTTATTTCGTGAAATATTTTAAAATATTTAAGCTATCTAGTAGCTGCTTTATTGTCTGGAGTTACTGAAAGAGCATATTTTTAAAACTAAATATTTCTACCTAAAATCCTGCGTCATTTACTTCATTCGGGTATTTAAATACTAAGTTATAAGCTTTTGTTTCCAATTTACTTAAATCCAAAGACATTAATATTAATTAGTTAGAAATTAAAAACTAGAACATACTTAATTTTTCTTATCTCCAATTCAGTTGCGAGACTAAACCATTCAGCATTTTTTAATTTTTTTCTGTGAAAAACTATTTTTCTGGAAAATTTGTTTTCTTATTAATTGATTTTTAACAGTCTGATTTTATTAAAAATCTTTCGTTTCTGTACAAACTCTTAAAATTGAAATTTATCTATAAAGCAAAATATTTACATTTCTTCAGAATATTCCTATTTTCGCTCATCTGCTGTTTAAAGAAAGACATAATCCCTCTGTTAAATGTGCGGCTTTATATTATATTATTTTTTATATTTATAGTTTTTGATTGTACGGCTTTATTCTGTTTCTGAATGTATTAAATTACATGCAGATAACATATATAATTTTTTTTAAATAATTTGCTTAAAAACGCTATTATCTTTAAATCACTGCAATGATTTATCACTTAGTGCATAATGTTTTAATAACCGGTATTCTTTGGTTATTTCTAGATACAATTGTTTAACAGCTTTTCTACTTGATGGCAATCGTATATCTGTGTTATTTAGTATGAAAATAAGAACACTGTTATAGGATATAGAAATAACACATTCAATTTATTAGTGGCCAATATATACCTGTAGGAAACTCTTTATTGCGTTTTTTCTATAACAGAAAAATTCCTTTTTTTTATACAAGCTATGGTTTCGGTATAACGAATTTGCAATAAATTTTTAACACAACTAATTTATTAACGCACGAAATCCAAAACGGTTCTCAGTTTACACAAATATTCCAATGTAGATCGAAACGCTGTTGTAAACTGAACATGATTTTCATGTTGAAACTATTTGGCTTTCTTAAAATTTACCCTGACATGTTTTCACCAATGATTCCAATTCCCTTAAGTGCAATGAATTTTATAGCTTCTTCATTTCACATTTCTTCACCTTTAACAAAAAACAACAAATAATGGTTTCTAACATGTTAAATAAAACTTAAATACAATTTCTTAATTTAGGCAAAACTTGCACCAATATGTTAAGCAAAACTTGTAGTTTAAGTGATATTCCTGAATGCGCCATAGCAACTACTAAATACACTGCGGGCCATTAAAATTGCAACACCATGAAGTGAAGCAAATACAAAAAAAGATATTTATTGCACGTAAACAGTATGGCATGAAGACAAATTGATTAAATTTGTAAGCATTTTGGAAATTTACAGGGGTGCGAATTTAGTAGAAATAGCTGCCACCTCTGGCAGATAAAACGGCCCTTACCCCATTAGGCATAAAATCAAACTGAGATTGGATGACAGAAATGGGCAACTCATTCCATGCTGCTTCAAATCTACGCCACACTTCAATCCTATTAGCTAGAGAGGGGTGGCGAGCTAGTCTCTCAGCGACCCATGACCAGATGTTTCCAATGGGTGACAGATCTGGAGACCGTGCAGGCCAGGGCAGCGATGGAATACGTAAACTGACCGAGAGTGTGAGGGCGAGATTTGGGGAAAATAAATGAACAGAATGTAATTGAAAAAAGGAAATTTTTGAATAGCTATGCAACAGAAATTATGAGGATTGTGAATGAAAACAAGACTATCATAGGAATAGGACATTAAATATTTTAGTTTTTCTTTTGTTAACGAGTTTATGTGTTGGGTGAGTTAGTTATGTGTCGTCTTACTATTTTTTGTTTTCTAACCGATTAAGCTTACGATTTTCTTTATTTTGTATTGTGTGAGTGTATTTTTAAAGATACACAATCTGTGTTATATGTCGTCTTACTATTTTTTGTTTTCTAACCGATTAAGCTTATGATTTTCTTTATTTTGTATTGTGTGAGTGTATTTTTAAAGATACACAATCTGTGTTAATCTGTATTTTAATCTTTTGACTTTTTTTTTTTTTTTTTTTTTTTTTTTTGTCTGCGTCGGGTGTGCTGCGTTAACCATGAGGCCGATTATTATCGGCCAGGAGGGTTGCAGCATACTCGTAAACTAAACTAAACTAAACACTGTGCATCTAGGAAGGTCAGAACACGACGTGCAACATGTGGTGTTGCATTATCTTGTTGGGACATGGCGTTTGGGAGCGTTGAAGATAAGGCACAACCATTGGACGTAACATGTCAGAAATAAACCCATCTGAGTTCAAATTACCGTCGATCCGAACTAAAGACGTGCATGTTTGCCCAAACCATCACACCAGGTGCATGGCCCCTATGCCGATATCGAATGCAAGCAGGCGACGTGCGGTCTCCTCACACGTATACATACGGCCATCAAAATATGCACGTAGAACCGGGACTCGTTTGAAAAGGCGACATTGTGCCACTCGTGTACCCAGCTTTGTCGTCTGGCTCGTCATAGTCGCCGTCTCTCTCTATTCTGCATTGTTAAGGGAAGCTGAAGTAATGGTCACCCTGCTGATAGTCCACGCTGCTGCAAACGTCGACGCACCTTAAGCATGGCCATTTCCTGACTAATGCTCCGTGATGTGGTCGTACGGTTTTGCAGGGCTGACCTCACAATATGTATGCCCTCTCTGGCGTTAATCATGGGAGGACGTTGAGATCCTGCATGCGGTTCAGTATGACCCTCAGCAATCCATTGATTCCATATTCGCATGACAGTGGTTTTATGTCGACAAGTGCGACCGTCGATATCATGGAACGATAATCTACACTTTCGATTGGCAACGATCCTGCCTCTATTGAATTTCGGAACTTCGGGGTAAGCATTTCCTCGCATAACACGGCATAACACGATATTATGAGCAAACTCCAACCTCACAAAGAACTTTCCAAATGAAAAATCCACTACGCAATTTTTCTTTTATGCAGTGCTACAGATGTCGTTCCTCCCTCCTGTGTCGTCTAAATTCTCTGAAATACTAATTATTTGCATATGCCAACCTCTTCTTCCTTGCATGTGACTTTGACGTTCGTCAGATTATTCCTTCCTGGTCTTGCAATTCACTGCT